CCGCATTCACCATGGCCTCCCAGTAAGACACCCTAGGGGGGGTCAGCGGGGTTCATTTCAGCATGCTTTCTTTTTTGCATAAAACAAAAGATAGGAGATCAGTAATTGAGTGTAGTGAGAGCGTTGGTCATCCTCATGAATACCTACTAAGGATAATTCACAGGAGGATGGTATAGACAATTGCAACCAGAGATTAATCTTTGCAAAATGTCAGACCAGTAGGTCGCTATTTTAGGGTACTCCCATACCCCTATATGCAATCAACACTAGAAGAAAGTGGGAACTCGTTCCAGGTGCATGCTATGGAGTATCGGTGGGGTGAAGGGGGACGGACTGACCATATGGAAACTCGCGCACTGCCCGAGGGCCCTGGGTCCGTAGAGGGCCCCATGAGATGCCCCTGGTACCTTTTTCATAGGCTTTTTTGAGTTTGGGCAAGGACACAGGGGCCCCAAGATCCCCTATTGCCCGGGGGCCCCATGAGTTGTCAGTCCACCCCTGGTGGGGTGTAATATACCCTATGTAAAAACTTGACCTGGATTAACTTGCCCCTAGAAGAGATAACAAGTTTGGGACCCCATTCTAAACAGTCCTCCCAATTTTCCCTATCTAGGGATGGAATATCATTCTTCCACATGCGTTCAACTTTGGGAGAGTTAACACTCAGAAGTACCCCATACTGGTACTTATCGAGGTCTCCTGGGGCCAGCTGCTCCTCGATAGGATCAACTTGGAGGAAAGACAACTGAGAGAATTAAGCTCTAGCAGCACGTCGCAGATGGAAGTAGTGGAACTGCATCCAGGCTGGCAGATGAAATTTGCTGGAGAATTGGGAAAAAGGCGGAGGATGCCCAAGGGCATGATGTATAATAGATATACTTTATTAAAAACCTGTGCTTTTGAAAATGCCTATTGCTAGGCTACCTGCATTGACTCAGTCAGTACTGGGACCACTAGATCAGCTTAGCAGCCAAGCAGCTAGTATTTTCAGAAGGAGAGGTCATCAGTGGCAGCCCAAATATTTTCAATAAATTGCTGCAAAACCATTAATAGCTTGCCAAGGTAAAGATTCCACTTTAAATCTCTTATATATTGATTGAAAGTGTCTTGCTACAAGCAAGTTTATTGACTTTCAACATTGCGGAAAAAAGCACATTCAGGATAATTAGCCTGTTGCAATTACAACTGTGGAACAAACATATTCATTATACAATGATCAAATGCATTATCTGCTCAGCCGATGATCCAGATGAAATTGTCTAGCTCTGGGTCACAAGCATCAAATGTAGTTCAGAGCCAATGTTTTAAAACTGTTCGGCAAGACTGTCACTATAATGTAGATGTACATAATACCTATAATGCATGGATAATTACACCAGATAAATGTTACCTAACTAGATGAATTATCTTTCTACAACTTTATCAGTACATTTCAAGACTGCAAAGTCTTTCAGGCCATTATGTATCATAACAGAATGTCATCAAATCATAACATTTCTAAGTAAAAAAAAAAGAAAATTTAGAGAAGACGTATACTGCAGCAAATGTTCTTTTCTCGCATGTCAAAATCATTGACGGCTTAATTTGAGCTTTTCTGTTCTGTCCTATTTCATTACAAATGGGTATAAAGATTTAGAAATCAGTATTGGACTGCCAAAGATAAATAATGACCTGGGTTGGCATTTGGGCTTTCCAATTAGCCAAGCTTCGGTGGGGGGGAACACAATTGGTCTGGTCTTTGATTGCCAAGGCTGCATGGAGCTTGGGCTGCTACCGCTTTGCTTAATTCAAGTCAATCTAAAAAAAAAATGTGGGGTTCATATTCATTTTACTGTATATTACGTCTTCAAGCAGTCTGTGAAAAACCATTTGTTTTTGTTGTTGGGCAAAGTACAGCATACCGTGCATCAGTGTATAGTGTAATATTTGGGGATGTTTAGCTCAGTGATAGATGCGTTCACGACAGTCAAGAATTTTCTCAAGGCTTGGTAGCCCACTTTTATTATTAAAAAAAAAAAAAAAATCCAAAACACATTTCTCACACAGGGGTTCTTCTCCAGCAAAATATACACAATGCAAATAAAAATACTAGCCCACCTGGCTACTCTTCAGCAGCACTGTTGCTATAGTTATTGGTCCTTTTGACCACCGGCTTTTTTGGGCACACAGCTCACACATGACTCCTCTGGCCAAGTCCTCAGACGCACACAGCTCCTCAAACCGTTAACTGTCTCTTGCAGCCCTTCATACTCCGGCTGCCACCTGCAGCTTCTCTGACTCCTGTAGGAGGGCTCCTGTCTCTCTAGGGTGGAGCCTTGAGGTATTCCTAAACCTCCATTATAAGGCCTGTGTTCACCTGGACACACACCCTGCTGTTCCTCCACAAAACCCGGACACTGGGTTGGAGATTCCGTCCTGCCCAAGACACTATGGAATCTCCAAACTACGGAGCCCCTTCCAGGAATACCAAAACCTGGAGAAAGCTTCAAAAGCAGTTTTCTCCACTCAACAGCTATACTCCGTAGTCCTGCACTCAGCCAATGTGCACACCCTGTGTCCTTTAACTGACAAATTTCATAGTGACAGAGTCTCGTCCTGTCACAATAGGTAAATGCAGTACCAGGCCAGTCTCTACAAATCATTACAAGTTGAATTCTTATTGGTAGCTCTGGGGTATTGCACATAAAAATTAGCACTTAAAGAAGAATCAGAGTATGCTTTGCATTCATTCAGAAAATGCAAAGCATTCTTTGAATGGTGCCCATGCCATGATGTTCAGAATGCATCAGGCCAGCTGCTCAACAAGGAACCCAGAAGCAAGTGAAGATCACCAGAGTAGTGGTATCTACTTCAGTGATTCAGATTCCTGGCATGGGCCAGGTACGGTATATACATAGTTACATTGGTCCAAGCTGGGCCAATGTAACTATGTATAAAATATCCATGCCTGAAATTCCTCTTTAAGAATAAACTGTTTTATAAGGCTTAAAATGCCTTATTCTGCAGTGTCAGAACTGCAGGCTTTTTACCACACGCAATCTAGATGCAAATAAAAGCAATTCAGAAGGACATCAGAAGCAGGTCAGAAGCATGTAGACAGGTGCAGTCTGTTTTCTCCCTTGTAGGTGCTGCTCGTCCAGAGCAGTACTGCAGTTGGAGGGGAAGTCAGAGAAACTTGGTTTCTAAATGGTTTCCTATGTCCTCTGGAGCATTGTTCTGGTTGGCTACACTGCATCCAGTTGACCCTGGTGGCCATCTTGGGTCACGTAGAGTCTTTTGAAGTCCCGACCTCCAGTTTTTGGTACGCATTTGCGAAGTGGCTAATGTAGCAAAGGATACCCACCCATCATGGACAGCATTAGTGGCATGGAGAGGTTCAAAAGTGGTCGGGAAAGCTCAGGCTCTACATCTGCACTTCTTCAAGCCCTCTCTTGGCTTGGCCTGGCCAGGCAACATTATACCTCCCTTGGCACACTGACTGTAAGTCCTGGGTAGGGTGAGCTCCCTGCTAGGCTGTTGTACTGTTTGCAGTGATACTATATACAGTAAATATAGGTACACAAAGAGTGTATTATTCTTTTAAATTGTACTGTTTGCAAGTTCTTCAATACATCTGTGTGATTACTGCTGCTGAACCACACTGCACCTATCTCAAATGGAGGCAACTTCTCCCTAAAACTACCAAAAAACGACTTACTCCATAGACTGGAACTAATATACAAAAAGCTTTTTTAAAGTTGAAATGATCTTTAGAATTACAGTTTAGTAAATTTAAGGTTTGTTTATTCGGGTGTCATAAGATCCAGTTAAAAATTCATATATTGCAAACCAAATCCAAGTTTCTCCAGAAATGGCAACAGAGTAAAACTAAAGTCATTGAACACAAGCCCTGAGACATCCTTGAGTCTGTTGAGTGGGGTTTAAGTGCTTCCTGTTTTGGAGAGGGATTAAAAGGACCATTTCTCCCTGTATCCAAGAGCGGGAGACATTATGTAGAACATTGCTTAAGGAAGGACATTTCTAGTAATCCAATTAATCTTATTCATCCCCTCATATTTACAATGCAGTATAGCAGAATGTTCTTGCTTTCGACACATGGGTGCATGAGCCATGAAACTAATAAACAACAATGCTAATACAAGTCACTTGTATTTGACACTATTGCTGCTCAGACCCCAGGAAACCCCTCATTCCTCATCCAAAAATAGTTTATTTATAGTGTACTTCGCCAAAACTAGTTTTTACAGATATGGCTTGTTGTGATTGAAATTTCAAACACAGACCTTTATTAGTAAAAATCAATAAATACATTAAAATACTTATGTTTCTCTCTTTTCCCATAGCTACCCTTAACCAATGGGGGCTATATCCCCCCAGACCTATAACACTGTTTGTTCCCCCTTGTTCTGTAGTGTGGCCATGCATAGATCGGAAATTGAACGGCTCAGCAGGAACTGGCCGAGATTCGATCCATGTATGGGAAGGCTGATTGTACCCAAGTTGATATATTGATCGACTTGGGCACAACCAGCCTGTCGGGTTTTTCTACATGTAATTACTGCTGATGGCGATAGCCGCTAGCAGTATTCATAGTGCTCTACAAGTTGGGAAGGTTCCCCATGCCTCTGCACGAGCAGAACATAATAACACTGCGAAAGGCATTTCCCCATCAACACTGACTGTGTTGTTGGGGGAATCGAGAGATTTTCTTTCCTTCCACCCGTGGTGGAAGGAAAGAAAATCGAATTGTCTATGGGCTGCCTTAGTTTGGGTTACGTGTTGCACCTGTTCTTAATTTAAAACAAAAAATAGGAAAATCCGAACCAGCAACATTGTCAAAGATGGAGAATAGACACTACTGCCCCAATTTCTTACATTATCAACCATCAAAAAACAAGATGTATAATTATTGGTTTTGACTCCACAGCCAACAATATAAATAAACTGGTATGGTTTGAGAAATTATATTGCCAAAAGTATTGGGACATCTGCCTTTACACGCACATGAACTTTAAAGGCATTCCAGTCTTAGTCCGTAGGGTTCAATACAGGGGCGGACTGACAACTCATGGGGCCCCCGGGCAATAGGGGATAATGGGGCCCCTGTGTCCTTGCCCAAACTCAAAAAAAACCTATGAAAAAGGTACAGGGGCATCTCACGGGGCCCCCTACTGACCCCGGGCCCTCGGGCAGTGCCCGAGTTTCCAAATGGTCAGTCCGCCCTGGTTCAATATTGAGTTGGCTCACCCTTTGCAGCTATAACAGCTTCAACTCTTCTGGGAAGACTGCCCACAAGATTTAGGAGTGTGTTTATGGGAATGTTTGACCATTCTTCAAAAAGTGCATCTGTGAGTCAGGCACTGATGTCAGACGAGAAGGCCTGGCTTGCATTCTCCTCTCTAATTCATCCCAAAGATGTTCTATCAGGTTGAGATCAGGACTTGCTCATCCGTGTCTTTGTGGACCTTGCTTTGTGCACTGGTGCGCAGTCACGTTGGAATGAGAAGGGGCCATTCCTAAACTGTTCCCACAAAGTTGGGAGCATGCAATTGTCCAAAATGTCTTGATATGCTCATTTCTTAAAAGTTCCCTTCACTGGAACTAAGGGGCCAAACCCAACCCCTGAAAATCAGCCCCACACCATAATCCCCCCTCCACCAAACTTTACACTTGGCACAGTGCAGTCAGGCAAGTACCATTCTCCTCGCAACCGCCAAACCCAGACACATCCATCGTTTTGCCAGACAGAGAAGCGTGATTTGTCACTCCAGAGAACACGTCTCTGCTGCTCTAGAGTCCAACGGTGGTGTGCTTTAGACCACTTCACCCAACGCTTTGCATTGCACTTGGTGATGTAAGTCTTGGATGCAGCTGCTCGGCCAGGGAAACCCATTCTATGAAGCTCTCTACGCATTGTTGTTGTGCTAATCTGAAGGCCACATGAAGTTTGGAGGTCTTTAACTATTGACTCTGCAGACAGTTGGCAACCTCTGCGCACTGTGTGCTTCAGCATGCGCTGACCCTGCTCTATCATTTTACGTGGCCTACCACTTCATGGCTGAGTTGCTGTTGTTCCCACTTGCTTCCACTTTGTTATAATACCACTAACAGTTAACCATGGAATATTTAGTAGCAAGGAAATTTCACGGTTGGAGTTATTGCACAGGTGGCAACCTATCACGGTACCACACTTTGAATTCACTGAACTCCTGAGAGTGACCCATTCTTTCACAAATGTTTATAGAAGCAGTCTGCATGCCTAGGTGCTTGCTTTTTTTTACACCTGAGGCCATGGAGGTGACTGGAACACCTGGATCCAATGATTCACTTTTGGCAATATAGTGTATACAGTGGGGCAAAAAAGTATTTAGTCAGCCACCAATTGTGCAAGTTCTCCCACTTAAAAAGATGAGAGAGGCCTGTAATTGGCATCATAGGTAGACCTCAACTATGAGAGACAAAATGAGAAAAAAAATCCAGACAATCACATTGGCTGATTTGGAAAGAATTTATTTGCAAATAATGGTGGAAAATAAGTATTTGGTCAATATCAAAAGTTCATCTCAATACTTTGTTATATATCCTTTGTTGGCAATGACAGAGGTCAAACGTTTCCTGTAAGTCTTCACAAGGTTGGCACACACTGTTACTGTTATGTTGGCCCATTCCTCCATGCAGATCTCCTCTAGAGCAGTGATGTTTTGGGGCTGTCACTGGGCAACACGGACTTTCAACTCCCTCCAAAGGTTTTCTATGGGGTTGAGATCCGGAGACTGGCTAGGCCACTCCAGGACCTTGAAATGCTTCCTACGAAGCCACTCCTTCATTGCCCGGGCAGTATGTTTGGGATCATTGTCATGTTGGAAGACCCAGCCACGTTTCATCTTCAATGCCCTTGCTGATGGAAGGGGGTTTGCACTCAAAATCTCACGATACATGGCCCCATTCATTCTGTCCTGTACATGGATCAGTCGTCCTGGTCCCTTTGCGGAGAAACAGCCCCAAAGCATGATGTTGCCACCCCCATGCGTCACAGTAGGTATGGTGTTCTTTGGATGCAACTCAGCATTCTCTGAGTCCCTGGCGACGTAGTGTGTTACTGATGGTAGCCTTTGTTACGTTGGTCCCAGCTCTCTGCAGGTCATTCACTAGGTCCCCCCATGTGGTCCTGGGATTTTTGCTCACTGTTCTTGTGATCATTTTGACCCCACGGGGTGAGATCTTGCGTGGAGCCCCAGATCTTAAAGAAGAAGGTACAGGTCTGTGAGAGCCAGACATCTTGCTTGTTTGTAGGTGACCAAATACTTATTTTCCACCATAATTTGCAAATAAATTCTTTCCAAATCAGCCAATGTGATTGTCTGGATTTTTTTTCTCATTTTGTCTCTCATAGTTGAGGTCTACCTATGATGCCAATTACAGGCCTCTCTCATCTTTTTAAAGTGGGAGAACTTGCACAATTGGTGGCTGACTAAATACTTTTTTGCTCCACTGTGTATTCTAAATATTCCCATGAAAACGTATCATGCATCCTGTACAAAGTCTATTCTTTACATTTACAGTATGTGACCTCAGCAATATATAAATAAGGAATTTGAAAAATTAAATACTTACCATTCCTTAAACATTCAACTTTCTCTCCATTAACATCAAATATCCACTTTGCTGATGATCCAAGGTTCACTTTGGAAGTACACAGATCTAAAAACTAAATGAAAAGATACAAATAACAATGTTATGAGTAATATTCCAGACAATACAAGTAATATAAATGGAATATGTTCAACCATAAACATTTTGTACTGTGTCATTGCTTTCTTAGATCATGTAGGGCAAAGTGAAAGGCTCTCCCAGCATTCCCTGTCCCCTCCCAAAGGAGCATACACTCACCTTTCCCCGCTTGTCCACTAATCCCCCCAGCCACCAGGACAAAGAAAAGAAAAACCCAGTGTATGTTCTGAACCTACTTGTTGGAGCTCATAAAGGCCTATGAACTCCTTCCCCTGCCTCACGTGATAGCCCCTGGCTAATCAGGAGTAAAAAAACAGTACAGAATTTGGGATTATTTACACACTGTACTCAACTCCCTCTGCTCCATTCTTCAACCTTTAATGCAGCTCAGCTCCATACACAACCCTGTAAATCTACGGACTGTCCCTGGAGATTGGGCAGAGTTGGGAATGAAGGAATGTGCCCACCTCTTCCATTTGATCCAGTGTTGTAGAGATGACATGTCCATCCTTCCCACTGCCATTTGCAAACACCAGAATTCTCCCAGTAGAACCTGTAGAAGGAGACTCTCTCTGTTTGGATATGGTAAGTTTATTCTTTCCTATATTCCATGAGCTAGAATTCATAAGACCATTCATAGTCCAGGTCAATTTACCAGATGGAAGAGCACTCTCTGCAAGAAAAAAAAAATATGTGTTATGGAACCAGTGCATGCTAATGAATGTCTCTAGAATAGGACATCCATCTTTGTGGCTATCAAGTCATCAGTCACACCACTGCAATTTAAAATCTTGTGATTTGTGTGCGATTTCAGCACGATTTCAGGTGCGATTTCTGAAGTCTTGTGAAGATTTTCAATGATTTCTTGCAATTTGCAGTGCGATTTCCACTCTATTCTATGTATGTGAAATCACAAGAAAACTGAAGAAAAAGTAATGCAAAACTACTTTAGAAATCGCGCTGCAGCAAATCGCAAAATGTAAAACACACTGACATTCACATTCATTAGATTCAATTCCCAAATCGCACCTGAAATCGCACCTGTATGACCGAGCATTAAGAATACATTTTGGCAATGAATGGCATTCTGCCAACTCTGGCATTTGACAAAGTCATGCTTGAAAGCATTTGTGCTGCATGATATTTGCGCAGTTATTTATCAAACGCATATTTTCAGGAAAAAAATGTATGAGTTTTAGCACAAACAAACACAATATTTTACCTAACTTTTTGGTACAATACATAAGATAAAACCAAACAGATACCAAACATGTCAAGTCTTATAATTGTGCACGCCCGTGGAATCGCAAAAACGTATGATTCTCCATTGACAATGCTTTAAAAGCCTTTACAGGTTATCAGTTTAGTGTGAACCCTAAATTATGGCCTTAGAATTATTCCTCTCACACTAACATTTGCGACAATACTTGATAATACGATAAAGTATTCCTGTGCAATTTACATGCGATTCAGGGCTGTGCAAATTTTGAATGAGCTTAAATTGCACATGCACTACTTTTGGAAACACATTGCAATGGGATCGCATGATACTTTTTTGAGGCATGCGATCTGGTGCAGGCATATGCACTGTGTTTGCGACCTGCGTTTAGGGTGTTGTTAGCTTATCAATGACACCCGTTGCAGAATGCAACTGCAGCGCATTGTGAATACGGTGCAGGAAACATGCACAGATTGCCACATTTTTTGTGTGAACCAAGCCTTACACTTGTCTCACAGTCTTGTGACTTCTATCAGTGTCTAGCCGAGCACTGGTTAATCTTGTAGGAGGAGTTTTAATTCTCCTCTGACTATCCTAGGAGGCTGCATGACTCCTGTCTGAACAGTGCAGACTGGCCCTTTGCTGATCACATGCACCTTCCCCCCCAAAAAAAAAACCTCTCAAGCAATACACACCAAACAGAGCATGTGCAGACTTGCCACTACTACTCTGTACTATGGCAGATGGATTGGGGACTGTGAAAGAAGCGGAGGATCAAAGAAGACAGGATCAAACAGTCTTTTTACATAATGCAGAGGATTAGCCCCTTAGGTTGCACAGTGAGTATACTTTCCTGCATATACAGACTGATTTTACTGCTGTGGGTTTAGTAACACTTTAAATGGACCCTTACCCCTATTCTTATAATGAAAAATGAACGCTACCACAACATAAGGAAAAACATCACATCAGTAATATTGCTAGTACTATGTCATACATTTCTTGTACCACAAATCGTCAATGTCCAAAAATTGGCAATGCAAATTCTGCACCTAAATTTCGGCAGCAAATTCAAATGATCCACACTCAGAGATAGGCAGATGTCTTACCACCTGTTGTTCTCAATGAAACATATGCCCATCTATGGGCAGCCTAAAACAGCAGCTGTGTCTCTGGAATCTCAGGAGAGTGATCATTACTACTCATCAAACTTTGGTTATATCCATAGATGTGGGTGGCTGTGCTTTTATATGTCAGGACTGCTTTAAGGTACCAGTCCAGCCTGATTACATTACAGGTGTCTCTGATGAGAATAAGGAGACCTGATAAAGATAAAAGACATAGAGGAGAACATTTTGGGCTCATTATTACCAGACTTCTTGTCTATTCATGGCAATTTCCAGCACAGGGAAAATTAATGTAAATAAGAAAACATAGCTTCCAGCAGTGCCAATACCCAGCAACATGTTGCATAAAAAAAGCCTTCTATGCAGCTTTTTTTGCCCACAGGCCTGTGGTGTTTGGTTCAAATCAGTAAAATGTAGTACTAATAAAATTAATTGTGTCTAAAAACACATGGCAACAAAAGTTACAATTAACCTGTGTTATACCCATGATTACTTTAATATTGCTCTCTACCCATATGGAAGAAAAATATATTTTGAAATATAATTAAAAAATATTCTTCCCAAATATATTGACATATATATGAAATGCTACAATTTTGGCCATATTCAATATATTTCAAAATATATTTCAAAATATTTTATAATATATATATATATACACTGCATGTTGAAATGCGTTTTTATATATTACAAAATAAAATATATGAAAAATATTTTTAAAAATAGATATTTTTTAAATAAATTCATCTGATTTTTTTTAACATATAAAAAAGTCATTTTAACATATATGTGTAAACTTTTGTAAATTCATTCCAGAAACGTAGATTTGTATTTTTAAAGACATACAGTATATTTGAAATATATTTTTAAAAAATATTTTTCATATATTTTGTAATAAAAACGCATTTCAACATACAGTATGTATATATATATATATTTTTTTTTTTGTTTTTTGAAATATTGAATATGAATTGGATATGAATATGGAATTGAATATGGCCCAAGTCGTAGCATTTCAAATATATGTCAATATATTTGGGAGGAATATTTGTAAAATATATTTCAAATACATTTTTCTTCCATGTGGGTAGCTTGATATACTCAGCTTCCCTTCACACTCTTGCTGCTCAATTTAGCTGACAGGGTCACTCTAACCTTGGCTAACACAGGGCTAAGCATTCTCCAAAAAGGCTTGATGATTGGCCCAGCCGTTACATACTCCTCCATACCAGGTGCACTGCTCAAAAAAAAAATTAAAGGAACACTTTTTAATCAGAGTATAGCATAAAGTCAGTTAAACTCCTGGGATATTGATCTGGTCAGGTAAGTAGCATAGGGGGTTGTTAATCAGTTTCAGCTGCTTTGGTGTTAATGAAATTAACAACGGGTGCACTAGATGGGCAACAATGAGACAACCCCCAAAACAGGAATGATTTTACAGATGGAGGCCACTAACATTTTTTTTCCCTACTCATTTTTTCTGACTGTTTTTCACTAGTTTTGCATTTGGCTAGGGTCATTGTCACTACTGGTAGCATGAGGAGATACCTGGGCCCTACAGAGGTTGCACAGGCAGTCCAACTCCTCCAGGATAGATCAATATGTGCCATTGCCAGAAGGTTTGCTGTGTCTCCCAGCACAGTCTCAAGGGCGTGGAGGAGATTCCAGGAGACAGGCAGTTACTCTAGGAGAGCTGGACAGGGGCATAGAAGGTCCTTAACCCATCAGCAGGACCAATATCTGTTACTTTTTGCAAGGAGGAACAGGATGAGCACTGCCAGAGCCCTAAAACATGACCTCCAGCAGGCTACTGTTGTGAATGTCCCTGACAAAACAATCAGAAACAGACTTTGTGAGGGTGGCCTGAGGGCCCGGCATTCTCTAGTGAGCCCTGTGCTCAATGCCCGGCACCACAGAGGTCAATTGCCATTTTCCATTGAACACCAGAGTTGGCAGGTCCGCCACTGGCACCCTGTGCTTTTCACAGATGAGAGCAGGTTTACCCTGAGCACATGTGACAGACATGAAAGAGTCTGGAGAAGCCATGGAGAAAGTTATGCTGCCTGTAACATAGTTCAGCATGACTGTTTTGGTGGTGGGTCAGTGATGGTCTGGGGAGGCATATCCATGGAGGGACACACGGACCTCTACAGACTAAACAATGGCACCCTGACTGCCGTTAGGTATCGGGATGAAATCCTTGGACCCATTGTCAAACCCTACGCTGGTGCAGTGGGTCCTGGGTTCCTCTTGGTGCCCGGCAATGCCCGTCCTAATGTGGCAAGAGTATGCAGGCAGTTCCTGGAGGATGAAGGAATTGATACCATTGAATGGACCCCACGCTCGCCTGACCTAAATCCAATAGAACACCTCTAAGATATCATGTTTCGTTCCATCCAATGCCGCCAGGTTGCACCTCAGACTGTCCAGGAGTTCAGTGATGCCCTGGTCCAGATCTGGAAGGAAATACCCCAGGACACCATCCGTCATCTCATTAGGAGCATGCCCGGATGTTGTCAGGCATGCATACAAGAACATGGGGGCCATACAAACTACTGAGTACCATTTTGAATTACTGAAATGACATTTCAGCAAAATGGACTAGCATGCTGCATCATTTTTTCACTTAAATTTTCGGGTGTCTTTGAATTCAGTCCTCTGTAGTTTGATCATTTTAATTTCCATCAAACGATGGGGCATCCTTACATTCCTAACACATTACCCAGTCCATATCAGTAGATATCCAGCATGATATTTTTCCCCATTGAGATCTGATGTGTTTTCAAAGTGTTCCTTTAATTTTTTTGAGCAGTGTATTTTCTATGCTCCCAGCACTCCCAACAGCTGAACTGAGTGGTGGAGTAGTATAGGAGAGGTAAGAATGTGCTTCTGGAGAAGAGAGTGTCAAAGCAAACATTTTTCATGGACAAAACACAGGTTTGTGCTACAGTAAAAAAACATTCCATTAAAAAGTAATGAAGGGAAGGGCGAGCTGTCATTGTGGACTTGTTTTCCAAAGCAAATATTCTGAGGCTGTCATTCTTATCATTCCTTGGCTACTTGGTGAGTCAATGACCTAGAACAAGATGGTCCAACACTGCACAGCTCATCCACGCTATTAGAATTGCTAGTGATTAATAGCTAAAATGGAACAAATGGCTATCTATGATGTGAACTACACAAGCAGCATGCAGTAGCATGTTGAAACAATCAACTGCACACAATTTGAGCTTTGTGCAATCATGGAAGATTACTGATACTACATGTTACTTGTGTAGCTTACAGCATAAGAAGCTGTTACTTCCAGCATTTAAAGTGAATCTGGCACTAAAGAAATATGGGGATGTCATTGCATGGTCCTTCCAAAAATAATAAATGTTGACTGTGTCTGACTTTAGTACTTTTAAGTCATAGACCCAGAACAAATATGATGTTAATGAGTGTCAGGGCTACTTATTTCTGTACTTTTTCCAAGTCAGCGTCAAAGCACCAAAACAACAGCCAGGGAACTAGCATACCCAAAATGAGGGGTAAGCAATGGCAGCATCTATTACTTGCCGATGAAAGATTCCTCTAAAAGTGGTCGTAAACCTCAGACATGAAATATGAACAAAGCATATCCCTCTATTAAGTGTGCTTTCAATTAGGTGCATTAAGGGGGTTATTTACTAAAATTAGTAAGTGCAAAATCTGGTGCAGCTCTGCATAGAAACCAATCAGCTTCCAGGTGTTATTGCAAAATCTTCATTGAACAATCTGAAGTTAGAAGCTGATTGACTACCATGCACAGCTGCACCAGTTTTAGTAAGTCTACCTCTAAGTGTCATTTCTGTCTGCTGCCTTAATACTCTGCTTTCAGTCACTTCTGACAAGTTTTCCTGACACCAAAAGAAAAAATGGTGACAAGGGCGGGACCTCCAGCAGATTGACAGTCTCAGCTCTGTTGTTCCTGTGAGCTGTGTGGAGGGAGCGTGTCTTTTCTCTCCATTCAGTTCTCAGAGCTTTCCTCATTGAGCTTTGCAGTGTTTAATTTCAGCTTTCTTCCCCCTTTTTCTGACGTCCCAGACAAGCTTTATAAATTCAGCACTTTGGATGGAGAGAGCATACATGGCCACGGAAAGATAGGTACTACTTATTTAGGAGAATTTCCTTCATCACCTGAACTTGTGTATCACCTGAAGCCAGTCACTTCACTGGGTATATGTAAGGGTTTGCAACTACTTTAAATAATCAGCATTTAGTTGTTAATTATTGTCATTTGATTAGCTCAATTCACCTCTGTGAACTACACAGCTCGCCCCCCACACACGTTAAGAAAAATAAGGAGAGACAGAGAAGTTCTGTAGTCCTAACACTCCTTTTTTCCTAGGGTTACAACACTGCTTCTCCATAAATACCATACACTGTGTTTAGCACTTCTGCCTGGCAGCACTAGGGTCGTTGGGTCAATTCCCAGTAACCTGCACAGAATTAGCATTTTCTCCCTCTGCTTGTGTGGGTTTCCTCCAGGTACTCCGGTTTCCTCCCACATTCCAAAGACATGCTGGTAAGTTAATTTGGTCTTGTATAAATTGGCCCTAGTATGTGTATGTATGAATGTGAGTTAGGGACCTTAGGTTGTAAGCTCCTTGAGGGCAGGGACTGATATGAATGTATAATGGTTATATGTAAAGTGCTGA